CACCGCGCGGTCCCTCAAGTGCTGCCGGCGCCTTGTACCGCCCTGCCCACCCCCCCGTCACACCAGGCCCTGGCACATCCCGGATGTGGGTGCAAAACCCACCTTACAGACTGTTTCTCATGTTCTCCCTGTGTTGTTCCCCGCTGGGACTGACTGGCCCCACTCGGCTTCCGCCCCTTCTCCATCCAGGTCTTCCAGAAGGAGCTGGGGAAGCGCACGGGGACGGTCCAGGTGCTCAAGCGCTCGGGCCGGGAGCTCATCGAGAACAGCCGGGACGACACGACGTGGGTGAAGGTGCAGCTGCAGGAGCTGAGCAACCGGTGGGACACGGTGTGCAAGCTGTCCGTGTCCAAACAAACCCGCCTGGAGCAGGCCTTGAAGCAGGTGAGCGGAAGGCTGCACCTGGAAATGGTCCCAGAGAGCTTTGCCGGATGCGGGTTTGTGCCGGGGGCTCAGCAGGAGCCTCGGAGAAGGGATTTTGTCCGGTGGCTGCTCCCCGGGACAAGCAGGACACCCCAGCCCTGCAGCAGGTACCGCCGAGGGCTGCGAAGCAGTGGGTCGGGGCGAGGCGTTTATGATCCTTTTCCCCCAAGAAGAGCCGATAAAGGCTGATTTGGAAGGGGAGGGCGGGAAGATCTTGCTGATGGGCACAGCAGGAGCAGAGCAGTGACCAGAGGCTGTCGGTGCCGAGAGGGGGGAGCGGCCTGGCCCCTCGTCCGTGGGTGTGCGCAGCCCCAGGCCGACAGACGGGGCTTCTTCCTCCTCCTCTTCGTTTGTTCTTGATGCCCCGTTCAGCCCTTGGTTCACTGCCAAGAGCTGGAGAGACAGAGCTGCCCGTCTGGGGGGCGGGAGGGCTGACGCCTCTTTGCTCCCCGCAGGCGGAAGAGTTCCGGGCGGCCGTGCACGTGCTGCTGGAGTGGCTCTCCGAGGCGGAGCAGTCCCTGCGCTTTCGGGGAGCGCTCCCCGACGACGCCGAGGCGTTGCAGTCCCTCATCGACGCGCACAAGGTAGCGGGGAGCTCCGAAACGCGACCCCAGCGGAACCGGGGGGAGGGATGTTGTGCCATAATCTGTTTGGGCCTTCCAGGAGTTCATGAAGAAAGTGGAGGAGAAGAGGGTGGACGTGAACGCGGCGGTGGGCATGGGTGAGGCCATCCTGGCCGCCTGCCATCCCGACTGCATCACCACGGTCAAGCACTGGATCACCATCATCCGAGCCAGGTTCGAGGAGGTGAGTGCCCCGGGCTGTGCTGCAGGCTGATGGCGACGGGCGCTGGCAGACGCCTCTACCAAGGGTGGATGTCGTTGCTTCTGGCTTGTTTCCTGCCCCTGGTTTCCCTGGGCTGACCAGGCTCTGCCTTTCCAAAGGTTCTCACGTGGGCGAAGCAGCACCAGCAGCGGTTGGAGTCTGCGCTTTCCGAGCTGGTGGCCAATGCAGAGCTGCTGGAAGAGCTCCTGGCTTGGATCCAGTGGGCTGAGACAACCCTGATCCAGCGGGATCAGGAGGCTTCGCCCCAGAATATCGACCAGGTCAAAGCCCTCATCTCCGAGCACCAGGTGAGCCCAGAGCCCAGGCGCTTGGGGAGGGCCGGGGGGTCCTGCCCCTCCGTGGAGGAGGCATTGCTTTCTCGTGGAAGTCCCTATTAAAACAGCCTGTGTCCCAACCGGAGCTGTCGCCTGGAGCAAGGCCAGCCTGGGGAACGACCTCCAGCGTTTGCAGGAGCTTGCCCACAACCCCCCGTCGCCGGTGCTCAACGCTCCCACCTTCTCCGTGGGCTTGGCACGCCCCAGCGCGGGTCTGGAGCAACAAGAGACGGGAAACGTCTGGAAACGGTAAAGGTTGACTTGTCCCTTCCATGTTTTGACAGTCCTTTATGGAGGAGATGACGCGGAAACAGCCAGACGTGGACCGGGTCACGAAGACGTACAAGAGGAAAGCTACTGAGCCCCCCCACGGGCCTTTCATCGACAAGTCCCGCAGCAGCAGTACGTCCCGGCTCGATACCCCGTTTTCGGCGAAACATGCTGTTAGGGGAGGAAATGAAATGCGTAGGAAACTAATTAACTGTGATTATCAATTAACAAGGCATCCTGCGTTGACAGCCACCAGGAAGGCGGCTGAACCTTGTCGGAGGGGGATGGGATGCAGGTGGCACTTGCCCAAGCGGCCGGGCCCTGGGGAAGCGCGTGCCGGCACTGCTGCTCCGCTTCTGCGGTCGCTTTTTGGGGGTGTTTCGTGTTGTTTCCCCAAGCTAAAGTCCACTGTGAATTCCCAAGAGCAAAGGGAGCACTGGGATGAGGATGCCCATCACCCCGTTCTCCTGCCTGGGGACGCTGCTTCCCTTCGGAGAGCAGCCAGCAAGGCCCT